AATCCGCCATGAATCATGCCCCAAACATGTTATTATTTTTAACATAGGCCTCTGTATGGCCTTCAATTTAAGCTGCTTATGCTTCGCCACTCTGCCATGGGCCCCTGTACCGCCTCCTCTTGCTGCTGCCAGGTCCAGAGTGTGTCATGGGTCCCTGTACGGCCTCCCATTGCTGCTGACTTCATCGCCAGACTCTGCCATGTGCCACTTTCAGGTCTCCTTACACTGTTGGTGGGTTCCATTTTGTGATAGGGTGCTGTATGGCCTTCCATTGCTGCTGCCTCCACCGCCACCCTGCGCCATGTGCCTCTGTCGTCTGCTCACGCTGCTGACGGCTTCCGCTTTTTTAACCGAGGCCTGTGTTTGGCTTCCGAATACTGCTGCATCCACCGCCACCCTGCGCCATGTGTCTCTGTCGTCTGCTCACGCTGCTGACGGCTTCCGCTTTTTAACCTAGGCCTGTGTATGGCTTCAGAATAATGCTGCCTACACCGCCACCCTGCGCCATGTGCCTCTGTCGTCTGCTCACGCTGCTGCCAGGTCCATACTGATTCATGGCCCCCTGTACCGGCTCCTCATGAACGTGGTTCAGCGGGTTTGCATCACTTGTCGACGACTATCAAGAGTCCAATGGCAGAGTGGCGGAGCAGAAGCAGCTTCAATTGAAGGCCATACACAGGCCTAGGTTTAAAAGTCCCTCACAGTTAATTCCAATAACGAACTCTACTCCTCCGTGCAATCTACTTACGAGACCCTGGGCAGGTCTGGGTCCAATTTGTGGTAGAGACTGGTTTTGTTCAGCCATGCTTGAGCGAGTAATAACAGGTCTGTGCTGCCCTTTGGTGTCTGGCTTAATGCGCACAACACTGAACGTCCCAGTGTTTGTCAACGATTTGCCGTTAAGTGATGCAGTGATGCAAACCCGCTGAACCACGTTCATGAGGAGCCGGTACAGGGGGCCATGAATCAGTATGGACCTGGCAGCAGCGTGAGCAGACGACAGAGGCACATGGCGCAGGGTGGCGGTGTAGGCAGCATTATTCTGAAGCCATACACAGGCCTAGGTTAAAAAGCGGAAGCCGTCAGCAGCGTGAGCAGACGACAGAGACACATGGCGCAGGGTGGCGGTGGATGCAGCAGTATTCGGAAGCCAAACACAGGCCTCGGTTAAAAAGCGGAAGCCGTCAGCAGCATGAGCAGACGACAGAGGCACATGGCGCAGGGTGGCGGTGGAGGCAGCAGCAATGGAAGGCCATACAGCACCCTATCACAAAATGGAACCCACCAACAGTGTAAGGAGACCTGAAAGTGGCACATGGCAGAGTCTGGCGATGAAGTCAGCAGCAATGGGAGGCCGTACAGGGACCCATGACACACTCTGGACCTGGCAGCAGCAAGAGGAGGCGGTACAGGGGCCCATGGCAGAGTGGCGAAGCGTAAGCAGCTTAAATTGAAGGCCATACAGAGGCCTATGTTAAAAAGTCCCCCCAGCAGCAGCGTGGGGAGACGACTATTAGTCGTCTCCCCACGCTGCTGCTGGGGGGACCTTTTTAACATAGGCCTCTGTATGGCCTTCAATTTTAGCTGCTTACGCTCCGCCACTCTGCCATGGCCCCTGTACCGCCTCCTCATGCTGCAGCCAGGCCCGTAATCTGCCATGGGCCCCCGTACCGACTCCTCATGCTGCTGCCAGGCCCGTAATCTGTCATGGGCCCCTGTACCGCCTCCTCATGCTGCTGCCAGGTCCAGAGTGTGTCATGGGTCCATGTACGGCCTCCCATTGCTGCTGTCTCCATCGCCACACTCTGCCATGTGCCACTTTCAGGTCTCCTCACACTGCTGGTGGGTTCCATGTTGTCATAGGGTGCTGTATGGCCTCCCATTGCTGCTGCCTCCACCGCCACCCTGCGCCATGTGCCTGTCGTCTGCTCACGCTGCTGACTGACGGCTTCCGCTTTTTAACCGAGGCCTGTGTTTGGCTTCCGAATACTGCTGCATCCACCGCCACCCTGCGCCATGTGTCTCTGTCGTCTGCTCACTGCTGCTGACGGCTTCCGCTTTTTAACCTAGGCCTGTGTATGGCTTCCGAATACTGCCTCCACCGCCACCCTGCGCCATGTGTCTCTGTCGTCTGCTCACGCTGCTGACGGCTTCCGCTTTTTAACCTAGGCCTGTGTATGGCTTCCGAATACTGCTGCCTCCACCGCCACCCTGCGCCATGTGTCTCTGTCGTCTGCTCACGCTGCTGATGGCTTCCGCTATTTAACCTAGGCCTGTGTATGGCTTCCGAATATTGCTGCCTCCACCGCCACCCTGCACCATGTGTCTCTGTCGTCTGCTCACGCTGCTGACGGCTTCCGCTTTTTAACCGAGGCCTGTGTATGGCTTCCGAATACTGCTGCCTCCACCGCCACCCTGCGCCCTGTGCCTCTGTCGTCTGCTCACGCTGCTGACGGCTTCCGCTTTTTAAACTAGTCCTGTGTATGTCTTCCGAATACTGCTGGCTCCACCGCCACCCTGCGCCATGTGCCACTTTCAGGTCTCCTTACACTGTTGGTGGGTTCATCCATTTTGTGATAGGGTGTGCTGTATGGCCTTCCATTGCTGCTGCCTCCACCGCCACCCTGCGCCATGTGCCTCTGTCGTCTGCTCACGCTGCTGACGGCTTCTGCTTTTTAACCGAGGCCTGTGTTTGGCTTCCGAATACTGCTGCATCCACCGCCACCCTGCGCCATGTGTCTCTGTCGTCTGCTCACGCTGCTGACGGCTTCCGCTTTTTAACCTAGGCCTGTGTATGGCTTCCGAATACTGCTGCCTCCACCGCCACCCTGCGCCACGTGCCTCTGTCATCTGCTCACGCTGCTGACGGCTTCCGCTTTTTAACCGAGGCCTGTGTTTGGCTTCCGAATACTGCTGCATCCACCTCCCGCCCACTGCTGCTGCCAGGCCCGTAATCTGTCATGGGCCCCTGTACCGCCTCCTCATGCTGCTGCCAGGTCCAGAGTGTGTCATGGGTCCCTGTACGGTCTCCCATTGCTGCTGTCTCCATCTTCACACTCTGCCATGTGCCACTTTCAGGTCTCCTCACACTGCTGGTGGGTTCCATTTTGTCATAGGGTGCTGTATGGCCTCCCATTGCTGCTGCCTCCACCGCCACCCTGCGCCATGTGCCTCTGTCGTCTGCTCACGCTGCTGACGGCTTCCGCTTTTTAACCGAGGCCTGTGTTTGGCTTCCGAATACTGCTGCATCCACCGCCCCGCCCACTGCTGCTGCCAGGCCCGTAATCTGTCATGGGCCCCTGTACCGCCTCCTCATGCTGCTGCCAGGTCCAGAGTGTGTCATGGGTCCCTGTACGGCCTCCCATTGCTGCTGTCTCCATCGCCACACTCTGCTATGTGCCACTTTCAGGTCTCCTCACACTGCTGGTGGGTTCCATTTTGTCATAGGGTGCTGTATGGCCTCCCATTGCTGCTGCTGCCTCCACCGCCACACTGTGGCTCCACACTCTGGTTTTGGCCCCGTGACTGCCCAAATGAGTGAAGTGTGCGGTGATTCTAAGATCGACGGCACTCATCTGCATGTCATACTGACTGACAGTATTAGTTCTCTTCCCCAGCAGACTCCAAGGGCATTTAAATTAAAGGTACAGTGTTCTGCACTAATATAAAGGCTCTCTGAAGCCTAGAAACACCCTTTTTATAAGTTAAATTCGCAGCGAATATATTCGCCTCGAATCAAATTTATTCCGCGAATTCGGCGAATCAGCCGAATCGAATTTTTGAATAATTCGCTCATCTCTAATCGTCACCTATGTATATTAAAAATGTTTTTAGTTTGACGTTATTGCACGGGAGTGCACAATTTTAAAGCATGTCATGTTTGGTATCTATTTACTAGGCATACCATCATCTTTTATATCTTATCAAATAATTGGGCAATATATTGTGTTTTTGTGCGTTAAAATTCAAAAACCTGTATTTTTTCCAGGAAAATTGCATTTGAGAAATTGATGCGCAAATACAGTGTGACATAAAAAAATTGTAACACCCGTTTTTTTTACCTTCAGCACTGCAAGCAGCAGGGCTCACCTGTCAGGTGGAAGTATTTGGGCGGCAGGGCTGCCGCAGATTGCTTCCACAGAGTGCAAGCCTCTCCGCCCCCCCCCCCCGTGTGAAGCTCCCCCCGCCCACTGCTCCCACTTGCCCACCTGCGGGACCGGGACCAGCTCACCGCCAATGGCTAGAGGGGAGGGAGGAGAATGGACACGTCTACTCCCCTCTCCTTCCTGTCCTGACCCGGAAGTGACATTATGATGCCATTTCCATGTGCCCATTGAGAGATTCCTTGCAATTGAGGCCAGAAAAGAATGTAATACAGTGCGATGTGCACTGCATTACATTCAGGAGAGCAGAGGGGAGACAGCAGAGAACCTGTCACCAAAAAATAACCACATAGGGCACATGTGCTAAAAAAAAAAGTTTTTTTTTTTAAATTGTAAAAAATGAAAATTACACCCAAGCACATAACATCCCCCCCCAAAAAAAAAAAAATTGAGCCCCTCCCACATATACGTATGTACAATCGTAAAAGCACGCGCTGGGGCGCTACACATAAAAACATCAATTGCGATACCCATGTTACATACAATATCACTGCGCACGTCAAAATGAGAACAATAATTCTAGCACCAGACCTCCTCCATAACACTATACTGATGACCTAGAAGGGGCTTTAAAAGCATCACCTATAGAAAATATAGGGTACTGAAGTTCGTTGCCATTTCACGAGTGCACGCAGATTTAAGGTTTGACAAGCTGGATATCTATTTACGCGGTGAAACCTCATCTTTAATACTGTACAAAAAATAGGGTAATTTACTGCTTTTTTTGTGCCCCAAAATAAAATAAATTGTATTTTTTACTGAAATTTTGCGGTAATATCATACAACATAAAAAATTGGAACTGCCACTATTTTATTCTCTAGGGTCTCTGATTTCAGAAAATATATCATGTTTTAGGGGGTTTTGTGTAATCTTCAGGACTAAAATTATTTTATTTTAATCTTGTGGAAAATGCTCAAAAACGGCTCTGGCAGCCAAAGGGATAAAGGATAAGCCTGACACTCCCCTTACCTGACAAGCACCCAATCAGTGCTCATTACATTGCAAGGTCTCTCTGCTCCCTGCTAGTCCCTGAGTGCAGTGCTGGAGACAGGCAGGGGGGGAAGGAGGGAAAAAACAACGCAATGTTAAAAACATTACACGTTTAAGTCACCATAAAACCCCTTTTGTTTTTAAAACATTCCTAATATCACCTCCGATTCAAATACGGTTTTGGTTAAAATATTTTTTTTTTTTATCTGGACAAGTAGATTGTCATGAGGGACAAGTAGATTGGGACAAGTAGTTTTTTACAAAAACTTCCACACCCCTGATATGTGGTATCCCCATACTCAGGAGAAGTAGCAGAATGTATTTTGGGGTGTTATTCCACATATGCCCATGGCAAGTGTGAGCAGTATATAATTTGATTGACAACTTTATGTAAAAAAAAAGTCATTTTCCAAAAATTTGTGGCAAAAAATAAAATCTTCCATGGACTCAACATGCCTCTCAGCAAAATCCTTGGGGTTTCTACTTTCCAAAAATGGGTCATTTAGGGAGGGGGGTTGTACTGCCTTGACATTTTATCACCTCAAGAAATGTGATAGGCAGTCAGAAAATAAAAGCTGCATAAATTCCAATATATATATATATATATATCATCATTGTTTGTAGACACTATAAATTTCAGACAAACCAATCAATATACAGGTATTGGGTTTTTGTTTACCAAAGACTTGTAGCAGAATGCATTGTGGCCTAAATCTATGGGATTTTTTTTATTACAGAAAGTAGAAAATATAATTTTCTTTCAAAATGTTCAGTCTTTTCTCACTAATATCATGAAAAATGAAAAACCCAGTGGTGATCAAATACCACCAAAAAAAAAGCTCTATTTGTGTGAAAAAAAAGGACATAAATTTTGTTTGGATACAGCGTTGTATGACCACGTAGTTGAAAAAGCGCAGTGCCGAATAGCATAAAATGGCCTGGTCAGGAATGGGGGAAATTCTTACGGGGCTGAACATTCTCCTGCATGTACTGGGATTTTTTGTAATAGAGTCACACCACCCTAGCACCACCTTCTGGTGAAATCTGGTATGGCCGCACAACCCCAAAATGCAGCCTGAAGTGAAACTACCAGACATAAAGGACTTGTAGTTGCACAGAGGTCTTGACATTTTTTAGTGTAAGCAACCCTCAGTAAGTAGAAGTACAATGGCAGTTTAAGAAGGGATGCCACCTTCAAAGAGGGGTGCCTCTGTCCACTAGCAGTCTGGGAAGAAGAGTGGGCACAATGGTATTTCTATGAATCAGTGGGCAAACAAAGTATCAGGCACAATATGCAGCAAAACTGTTTGACCCACCTGCATATAATCATATATATTAGTCTTCTTAAACAAAAGTATTATAAAGCAAGTTTCAAACTTCAACAAAGTCAGTAATTTAAAAGTATGATTCTATTAATTTAAGGTTTTCCAATATTTGAGGAACCCTCATCCTATCTCATGCACCGTAGTTCCTTTGCCTTGCAAAACAGCTCGGTACACAAAAAAAACACAAACACCAGGGTTTTGTCTTTTATCTTCTAATTTATGATAATTACCCAACATCAATCAGTTCCATCGCTGTAGATGCAAACTGTATTTGAGTTGTCAAAGCTTTTGATATTGTAATGTATCACAAATCCTTCTCTCTGCATTTCATCATCTTTGAATAAAAAGCTAAGGCACTTTGTAAATCATCTACAAGAGTGTCCTAACACATCCATAATTTGGGGACATTCCAATATCTCAACACGACTACACTGAAAAAATAGTCTTTAATCTATTTGCACTTCGCTTTCAGCATGCTGCAATATGCAAAGTATTGTAGAATTAACAGGGACTATGTACAGCAGAATTTCCCAGAAGGCTGTGGGTGCAGTAGGAACAAAGACATAGCTTAAAAAGGGGGGGGGGGCAAAACAAATGTCTACCGAACCTTTACCAAAGGGGTAACTGTAAGCAAAAGATAAATACACAGTTGAGTTTACCAAGAGAGGAGCTACTTCAGTCTTTTCAATAAGTAATTTCCTATTATAGCTTGGTGGCACAGACATTCGTAGGGTATCAAGAGGAACATCTGCATTACTGCTGGAAAGGGGGTCATTTACTAAAACTTCATGGTGCAAAATTTGGTGCAGCTCTTCCTAGAAACTAAAAGCGTCCAGGTTTTATTGTCAAAGTTTAAATGAACAAGCTGACATTAGAAGCTGATTGGCTACCATGCATAGCTGCACCAATTTCTGAGGGCACCAGTTTTAGTAAATCTACCCAAAAGTCTTCAGGCTGTTGGACTATTTCTTACCATAGTTCTGTTTATCCATTTTTTTGTAAACTCCACGTTTTAAGTTTCTGTGTCTTACCAGAAGATGTATTTTGTTTTTTTTTTCACTTTTCCTGCTTAGTGAAAAGTGACAACCTTCCTTTAAACCCACCAGTGGATTCTCACAATCTCCATTTTCACTAATGCTTATTTGGAGCCACCAAAAACACCCAGTGCTTCGGGGTATAGGTGTCCCAGTCAGGGGCCAGGCTCAGAAACCAGTAGCTATAGCAGGAGAGAGGCTCACACCAACCAGCTGGATAAGTACAGAAGCAGGTCACCCTGGTGGATGACATAGGTTCACTTGAGGTGCGGGGGTCTAAGCACTTACCAGTATTCACCAGAGCTCCTGATGATGGAGATGGCTTTTGCTGCATGTTAGTACCAAGTCACAGCCCTCAAGATTTCCCCACTCGGAGGTGAGCAAGCCGGGTTCCAGTCACAGATAAAGCAGGTAGGGATCAAGCAGAAGCATAGTAAGTAGGCAAGCCAAAGGTCGGTAACAAGTGTTGCAGGTTGGGATCAAGTGGAAGCATAGTCAAAGAACAAACCAAAAGTCTGTAAGGGAGTAGTAGCGGAAATAAGGACAGCTGCAGGTATGCAAAGAGCAAGATATCGGCTGGATAGCACACAATAATCTGGCAAATGGGAGATGCAAAAGCATGGCTTAAATAGGAAGTTCATGGGAGGAGCAAGGGGTTCAAAGTTCACTAGAAACAAGGTACAAGATAAGATTATCCAAGGGTTCAGAGAGACTGCTGGCTAGCATCTCAGGTGGCTCTGCACGGAGAGCCACTGCTGCACAGAGCAGAAATCGTTGGTTCAGATCCTGGTCCTGACAAAAGGACAGCTTTTGACCTTCTCCCTTTTCTTCCAGGCAGCGTTTAAAGGATAACTAAACCCAAGAACTAAAATGCAATGTATTGCAGTTTATAGTCTTACACGTGATTTCTGCATTAGCTTTTTTTTTTTTAAATCGTTTTTCAATAATTTTTTTTTAAAAAAATACAGAAACTACTGGTTGATCTTGCCAGAAATGTTGTGCTCTTGTCACTTCCTGTGAGCTGTATTGAAGAATATATTTCTTCCTATCTTCTGTAATCTACCAATTGCCTGACCCCATGTCATGGATATGAAGAGATATGGATATTTTTGTAGGGCATATCAGGAGAGTAGCATGGGGTGACAACTATGGCTCCCTTCATAGATACAGAAGAGGAGTGATATAGCCACAAGAAGTGTGTTATTTGCAGGATCACCAGGGGAAAATAAAGCATTAGAAGCTGGGGAAAAAAAGAAGACAAATGCAGCCACCATACCAAGGACGAGTAAGCTGTAATTCATTACATTTTTATTTTGGTGTTTAGATACACTTGAAACCTGAGCGAAATGGAAAACCCCACTACCACAGGAAGAAGAAGAAAACCTGAGATATTATGTGTGACAGTCATGGCGTCAGACCCCCAGCCCTTCTCACCAACTTGTGACTGAAGGACTAGCCAATCTAAAACCGCGATGTCACATGCGCAACAATGCCATGCTCAGCTACACCCTGCACAAAGATTTTCCAGCTAATGGACCACAATCTATGTACCTGCAGCCTGAGTGCGATTGTTACTGGGTCAGGTTAATTACGCAATTACCCTTCACACTGCCACCACCTCCTTTTTGTAGAGAAGAGGAGGAAACTTGCCTATATTAGCAATATCACTATGATGTTTGAATAATTGTCTGTATACACAATGTCACCGCAGACAGATGTATGCAGACATTTAAAACACACAGTAGCGCTCTTCAGAGACAGGGATTCTTAGTTTGCATTAAAGAGCTTTAGAAACAGTTCAACACTTTTCAGAAAATAAGTTTTATTACTAAAAAGGTCAAAATGGTGCAATAAACGTATTTACAGAAAAAGATGTAGCCCATATATATATATATATATATATATATATATATATATATATATATATATATATAAATACAGAGAGCAATAACACAGCATAGAGATAACAGAAAGAAGTTTAGAGAGGTAGAGTACTTGCCAAAAGTCCTGGATTAAGCAGATCAAGTTTCAGAGCAAAAGGGTATCGTCTCTCAAGTTGGTTCCGATGTTAAAAGGGAGAATTCTTCAACTTACTTCTCCAAACCTGACAGCCTTTTTCTAGGAACTCAGCAGGGTGTCTCCTTACAGCAGAGAACCAATCGCCTCATTTGGGGAGGGGTGTTGTAGGCGGGAAATTTAGGCTATGACCAAATCCTTCCCAAATTATACTATGGTCAATAACCTTCCCCAGGTACATGTAGCAGCCTAGCCACTAGTAGATTAATATGCAGAACGATATTCTGAACGTGCAGACATCAAATATGGCATAGTTCACTATTCCTGCTAGAACAATATGGCTTTCTGCTCTCCTGTAGACTTCAACTAGGGGTGTAAGATATCAGACGACTCGCATTAAACTGAGGTATCCGAATATATGCTTTATTTTTATGTAATTATTTCCTACCTTAAGATATGAAATTATAGGGAAAAATGGGTTTTTAAATGTGAGGTCTGTTTTTTAACGGCTATGTAAGAATGCGTTTAAAGCCCAGTAAAGGACTGGTTTA